AAACAACTAATTATTCGCCAACACTTTGTATAATTCACTAATTCAATCATCTAGTGAAAGTTGTTAATTCAACCAACTATTTTGCTAATTTAATCGGCTATAAGTTATCTTCTATCTATTTGTGCCAAACAACGTCACATATATTCTAGGATTATTATCTATAACAATGCAATTAATATTTTATGAACTGCTTCGAAAGCGTCTTAGAGTCCCGTTGCCATTATATAACATCAATATTCGGTACAAGATTTCGTCACAATCACGCAGATTATTATGCTAACGGGTTCAACAAACCTATAACTGAAGGAGTGTTTTAATATTCCATGCCCGTAAATTGAGGAAAATATAATACTCGTGCAATTATTTAACTGCAATTACTTCTGAAATATTAACCTAGTTCAAGCGGAATTGAGTGCGAATAAGTCAATGTCAATAATTAACCAAAAATTATTACATGTATGAAATGTTGCTTGGTGCCCACTGAAAATGGAGTAATTTCTATAGCATTGCGATCATAAATTACGTTTAATTTCAAATGATATGTACGTACGCAGGGTGTTTCAAAATGCATGCATATTAGATATAATCATATGAACAATATAAAAATAATATTAAATGTAATTAAATCCATTTCCATTATTTTTATATTATTTGCCAACAACGTAATTAAATTTTTATTTTAGAATTCATTATCTTTAATTCATCAATTATTCATAATACATATACAATAATACGGTTGCGCCCTAAACTCACCTCTTTGGTGTGATAAACATATAGCTTAAAAATTTAACTAAATTTATAATTATGTATCAAAATCAACAAGTACTAGACAGATTTCTGCAGCGTCACACACATATAAATTAATATATATATTCCTTGTTTACTAAATAGTTATCAAATTTTCTTCTCAATTTCTTGGCAACACCCAAGAATTTTCCGTTGTACTTGTTTGATATTTACTTGCAGTATTTGCTTACTTAATTGTTCTCATTCTTCCCCTGTTTAACCAGAAAATGGTCAACGTTACTCAACTCATAAAAGTTGCATTTATACTCAATATAGTGGCCAAGTCAAACATTGATTAATGCGTGTGTTAGGGTTAGGCCCATGTTAAATGTTACACACATGCTCCCAGTTGATAAACGTTCATCAGCTACATGACTTGGTCAGAGCCTAATACAATGGAAATACAAAAGTACTCTATATATTGATTATGCAAGCATATATGACTTGCTACAATTTTTCTTTTAACATAATTCCAATGCATTTCATCCTAAATTTTATATAGTTGATTCGAGCTAAATGCATAAAACTACTCTTCATTATCCACATTAATCCTTCTTTAGGAATGAGCTCGAATTAATGTAGAAATTTCAGCAATAAACGAATGAGCTCGAATTAATGTGGAGATTTCAGCAATAAACGAACACAAAATATGTTTGGAACATAAACAAAAACAAGCTCCAAATCCCGTTTGTTCAGTTCGATTACAACACTATGTATAGAATATATCACAATTATGCACTTAAAAATGGTAAAAATGCTATAAATGACGTATCCAAATGAAACATATTGTTTGAATGTCTAAGGAAAGCATTTGACTAGTAATCAATCATATTGGTGAAGAAAAAAATATTAAACCATTTATATAACAAAAAATCCCTACTTTCTAACATAATGCAAGGCAAAATTTATTTTAAATTTAGAAATATTTCATTTTTCATCAGAACTTATAACTGTCACATCAAGCAAAAAAATTCAAGATATCCAATCGCGTCCTATCTTGTCATATGCATATATACGCTACTTGGATATTCGAAGATTGCTTATAAGATTGAGAAAGGATTAAAATACAATTAATAAAATTCAAAAGAAAGGTCGAAACCAAGGAAAGTTTAAATGGGACCGACAAATAAATTGGTTTCACATAACCAACTTGGAAATGTGATGGCAACTTGGTGTACAAAAATGCACGTCCTCGACGACTAATTATATATCTAGGTCAACAAATAACGAGTATGAATATGTACGTGGCATTAAACAATTGGCTGTTTGACTTATGCCTTGAGAATTAGTTTTTGCACGTTTGGAATCCACCTTCTACTGAAACAACACCCGTGTATTACACGGGTGGGTGCTTGTTAAAAAATTATTCTTAAATTTAAAAATTAATGAGAAAAATTATTTTAAGTTTTATTTTTATTTTTTTTATAAAAAATATATATTATTATATATTTTAGAATGACACTTTTTACTTGTACGACTTACATGTGTTATATTATAATAATTTTTATAACTTATATCATATAACTACTTGAATATAAATATATTAATTGATAAATAATTTTATTTTTCTAATTAATATTAAAAAAATTATTATTGTTATAAAGATAAATATAATTTATTTTTTTATACATACAATATGGATGTTAAATCGACGTTCATCAAGAGATGATTAATTTGATACATTATATATATAAAATTGATAAAATATACAAAAGTTATTAACTTTTAAATACATTTATAATTCAATGGTTATATGTAATTAATACATATAATATGACTATAAATAATCAACATATATATGGATAATCCGGACCAAATTATTTTTTTATTGGAAGTAAATTAAAATATATCCAAGTCAAATAATGAAACATGTAATTTTGCCACATAAGATCCCGAAGCATGCGAGTCTGCCACTTAGGCTCAGCACGTTCTAAATTAATATATAGGGGATATTAAATCAAAACGTGTTGAGCCTAAGTGACAGGCTGGCATGATTCGGAATCCTATGTGGCAAAATTACATGCTTCGTTGAGCTTGAGTAGATTTTAATTTACTTCCAATCTAAAAATAATTAGATCCGGATTATCTAAAAATATGTTGATTATTTATGGTCATGTTACATGTATTAATTGCATTTTAATATCATTTCTTATTATAACCATTGATTTGTAAATGTATTAAAAGTTAATAACTTTTGTATTATTTATCAGTTTTACATATATAATATATCAAATTAATCATCTCTTGATGAGATTCGATTTAACATCCATATTGTATGTATAAAAAAAATTATATTTATCTTTATAACAATAATAAAATTATTTTTTAATATTAATTAGAATAATAAAATTATTTGTCAATTAATAATATTTATATTTCAAGTAGTTATATGATATAAGTTATAAAAATTACTATAATATAACACATGTAAGTCAAACAAGTAACAATTGTCATTCTAAAATAGATAATAAAATATATTTTTTGTAGAAAGTAAATAAAATTGAAAATAATTTTTCTCATTAATTTTAAAATTTAAGAATAATTTTTTAACAAGCACTCGTGTAATACACAGGTATTGTACTAGTAATGGTTTATATTAAAGTAACAATACACGTATAACAAATTATGTCAAAGTAGATAATTCCTAATTAAATTGTGATNAATAGGTAAAACAAGAAGACGGCCTACAGAATTGGAATATGAATGTAGAGTTTTCTAAATATTATGTAAATTTTTGGTATTTTAAATTTTATAATCATAAATGCCAAATTTTGCATCTTATTTGACATATTAAATTTTGGTGCTTCGGATAGTCTGACTTAAACTTTTATCCATACTTGTTAGAACTTTTAAAATTATAAAACAATTTATTCACTTGAATAATAAATATATTTTTGAAACTTAGTAATTTATTTTATTTATTATCCATTTTTCATATGTGATATCAAATCAATCATTTCGAGATCTTTATTTTGACGTACATAAAAAAAATATATTTACCTTTAGAAAAAAGTTTTTATCATCTAACCAGCCTTAATTAGAAAATAATAAAAATATCATTGATTTTATATAAGTTTTTCTATCAAAATTCTATAATATGACACGAATTAGAAAAAAATATTACAATATAAAAGGTTGTTACAAAGTCATTTTAAATAAAAAGAATAAAATATAGTTTTTAATAACCATTTAAAAAATTAAAATAAATTTAAAAATGTAAAAAATCAAAGGGGATCAATCTTGTGTGTTATTCAAGAATACTTTCAGGAGAAAAGATGAATATGCTTGAAACCAAGAGAATACATCTGCTAATCAATAAAAGAAACACATCCATCAAAATTCAGTAAAAACAAAATGAAATCTCAAAGCTAGACATGTTCTCTTCTTCCTACATTCTATCCAACAAACTCTCACATAAAAAATAAACAACACCTCCTCTTCAAAACTTGAGCTAAATTATTACCAAACCAGAATGGCCAAGTGAGAAGAAAGAGAGCACCCTTGGAGCTATTCAGGCAACCGAAGCCATGTGACGAATCAAATCAACGACACGGTTACTGCAATTAATTTGATCACGGTTTTAAGTGATGACAACACGAAAAAATGTTTGGTTTTCATCATATGTACAAAGACTTTACCTGTAGCCCCATTCATTGTCGTACCAAGACACAACTTTCACAAAATTGCCGTTTAGTGCAATTCCAGCCTTAGCGTCAAAAATGCTAGACCTATCAAGTAAAAGTGATTTTTTTTTATTATTATTATTTTTTTTTTTTTTGGAGTTTTAACTTT